CTGGAGTTTCGTAAAATTTTGTCGGCCTGTGTAATCATACTTGATTCAGACTTGCGCTGGACTTTTTTGTTTTGGGCCTTTTAAGCTTATCTTTTTATTTGAAAATCCCCGTTTTAAACTCGCGATTTTACACACTCGCGGAATTATAGGAACAGAAATCAGGAGGACAGCTGCGTACTGCCTGAACAACAGGAAGGTGGGCACTACGTATTGAGTGCTTGCGGAGAACGTTGCGATAGACTCAATCCTGGTGATGTGGTTCCCAAAAACAGTATCCTCAATTTTACCTGTAAGAGCAATTACGTATTGAAGGGAAACAGCATTTCCGTTTGTGCCGACAACAAGTGGTATCAGGCGCCTACATGCCAGAGTAAGTCTTCCTGCACTTGGTGTGTATTTACCTTCGGACGACGTCAGGCTCTCAGGAGCGACATTCTTCTTATTTAATGACGCGTCGTATGATATAAAATTTATTAAACAATAATCGATTCATGAGGCTCTGACGTGACATCACAATTCGAAGGAATAAAGGATATAACAGCCAAGACAGGATATGTTAGTGTGTAAATGATTTTAATTTTTCGCAACAAATTTAAAGATTAAAATCATTTAGACGCTAACATCCTGTCTTGGCTCTTAAATCCTTTGTTCCTTCGAATAGAATTTATTGTTTACCTTCTCCGTTGATTATCTCTAGAAGTCTGCCCGCCGTTGAACAGCACCAGCGTAGACATTTCTTGCCGCTTCCAGGGGGAAGTGGTGTCCTGTAGCGAGCGTATAATGCCTGGTACGCGGGCTACACTCGCCTGTAAATCATCTTATAAATTACCTTTAACGAACGATCCGGCTTACAGGGAGATCACGTGTCTCGACGATGGTTTATGGGATCGTCGACTTTTTCGCTGTCTACCAGGTACTTGTCACTCGCGCGCTTCCTGACGCGAGGAAAAACGCAAAACGAACAAGTCTCGGCGAATTGAACGTCACCCATGCATGTTACCGTCCATTAGCGTACCGCACGACGTTTTTCTTCAATAATTGCCGTCCGAGCGTATAAGATTACAGTTTCGAGATTCTTTTTTTCCCCGAGTGGTGATTTATGAGTCCGGCGACTCGTCTGCAATTATCGTGCCATCGTTACCGCGAAAATATTAATGACGTTCTGCTTAATTAGAATGCGGGACGTCCGTCGCACGCGGCAACACCTTAATCGTAAACGGATTCCAAGCCAAAACGGGGGTATTTCCATGGCACGTTGGCATTTACACCAAGGGGCGTAAGGACGACTATCGGCAGATATGCGGCGGCACTTTAATTACCAACAATCTCGTCGTATCAGGTAAATTATCGCGCGGGTGAATCATTTTATTCTTAGATCTGCTCTCATCGCGTGCGTTCGTAGCGGCCCACTGTTTCTACGATGAGACTGAAAACGCACTGTACGGCGCATCCAAGTACGCCGTGGCCATCGGCAAACACTATCGCGATTGGTACACCAGCGAAGAATACGCCCAGCAATCGTTACTGGAGAGCATTCAGGCGGGCGGCAGGTATCAGGGAGCGAGGGGTAATTTCGCCGATGACATAGCTTTGCTGAAGTTGAAGACGCCCTTCGAGCTGACTGCCTTAGTGAAGCCGGTCTGCGTAGACTGGGACAACACGTACGAGAGGGAACAGCTGCAAGTGGGACACGCCGGCAAGGTAACACGTGGGCCAAGTATCAATTGTGAGAACCGACTAATTGGCCATCTTGGTGCAATTTAATTAATTACGGGGACGCTTTGTAATGTCCGAGCGAAAGTACATTTGGCAAACTGCTTGTTGTAAACTGCATTAACGGCACGGTTTCGAAACTAAACTTCGGCCGGCGTGCACGTTGGGACGCATTGTTACAGGTACATCGTGTCCACGTTAATTGCCGCGAGTGTGCACGCGCGTGCATTTCTACACCCCCCCCTCCCCGCCGCCGCGACGGGGTAGTTTTGTATCCGATCGCGAGTGCGGGAGGTCTATCTAATGTTTTGCGGCTCGTTTCACCCGCGTCGGCTCGAGGAGGAAGGGAGAATGAAATGTAAAGGGAAAATAAAACGGACACGTGAGCTCACTTCGTGATTTCAGGTGGTCGGATGGGGTAGAGACATCAAAGGCGAATCCGCCAAGAGCTTACAGGAAATTGACATGCCGTTCGTGCCGTACGATCAGTGTTTGTCCGCGGTTCCTGCAGATTTTCGAGGATTCCTCACGTCCGACAAGTTCTGCGCCGGCCACTTGAACGGTGAGTCCACGTATACGAACGAACGTGAGATTTATTTGTCCCCTCGTGGAGAACATGCGCGAGATTACCGCGATGGCTGATAACATTAATTGATTGATGATAGGTGTAGTAACTGTGATAGCACGGTTCTATCTTTACTACGAATCGCGTAGAAAACGTGTAAAGTGTCAAGACGGGGCACGCGCGTTTCTCCGTGGTATTTCGCAATCGTAATGGAGGTAATTGCATAATCATCAGGCTCGAGCGTTTGCGACGGAGACAGCGGCGGCGGCTTGTGCTTCGAGAAGGACGGCATTTGGTATCTTCGCGGCATCGTGAGCGTGAGCCCAGAGAACAAAGGCAGCTGCGATTACAACTCGTACGTCGGGTTCACCTCCGTCAGTCACTTCCGCGATTGGATTCGCGAGGCCTACGTCCAATCGTAAACGCTGGGAGCTGTGCGGACGCGCGAAAATATATCGCCGGCATCATCGAGCCTGTTGCAATAACGGCCCAGACGGTTCGATGGGGCGTCCAAACAAGATAACAGCAACAAAACATTACGGATTGACAATTGTAAATCTCCTTCACAATTTTAGCATCGAGTGGCAAAAAACGGCGAAAATGGAAGGACAGAGATTTAAAGGTTTACGCGACAAAACTGATTTTTATATTAAAAACACGATATTATCTCCGAGAGGCGCTATTCAAGTTTTAAGTGTCTCGCGTACGACACTTTTGTATCATAAATAAAACGCCTTATCATACTGCACAGTCGTGACGTATGTTTAGGAAGAAATCAATAAGGAAGTCATTATTATGCCTAATCGTTTCTGCTTTGCTGCATAATTACCCCCACTTCGCTTTCCCGCGATCGCATAACTAGACATCTTCGTGCGCAAAGTGACGCATTCTGAAACCGACTGTGTTTTCATATGAGTAATAAATCCTGTGTCTCGTACGAGTAATAATCATACCGTTTACCGCGCTCTCGCGTACATACGATATTTCCACGCGTTGTGGGACATTTTTTTAAATGCTCGATACGATCAAATGCAGATCGAGCCATATCGAAACGCAATTGAATGACGAGCGCCGTGACGGACGTCCTGCAGGACGGTTTTATCTGACAGAGATCTAAATTAGTAACGTGTCATTTTATTTACAGCGGCGTCGCGTCATCCGTAACGTAAAGCACGGGTGTCGTCGAGGATTTCTTTTTTTTTCTCTCTCTCTCTCTCGTTGTTCTGACGCATCGTGTCGCCCGCAGGAATTTCCCAGCGGTATCGAGATTATCTTTGATGGTATCGGTAACCCACGTGGACTTTGTTTTGCGAGCTTACTGTCTCCTCGATAAATTGAGTTCCGGAGTTTGATGACGCATCGGTCGTAGCCGGAGCTATTTGAGCTTCATATTTCCCACAAATTCAATGCGATCACGTTCCTATAGTGATTATGCGCAGCGCGAGCGCACGGAAGATAATTAATGCTACGCGCTTATTGTCGTTGGAAATAATAATTTCGCATGCACGGGCGCGCGTGGATGTGTGAACGAGTAGTTAAATATTTCAGAATATCCCGCGGAGTGCAGATAGTACGTGCGATTGTTCCAGTAAGGAGGCGCATGTATCTTGCCGAGTTTCGCGATATAGACGACACACCTAACTCATTAGCCATTAATTATTTAATTAGAACTCCCGTACCTTAGAGCGCATAATATGCGCCGCGCGGATATATGTATTCAGCGGTGTCGGGTACACACGCGGATGCATGTGTTTGTATCTGGGAACCCGCGTTTGCTCCCTGCAAGATTCATACATTAACAGGATGTGTTCGTTTGCTCATTGGTAAACCGTAGTATGATCATTACACTAAGGGTGTAGGTGGGTAATAGAACGCGCACACGCGAATCAGCTTGATAAGGATCGATCGATACGGCAAGGAAATCCAGTTTGCGAGCAATTTTCGAACTTGCGAAACGCGAGGCGGCCCGATACAAGCGGGCCCTCCAAGTTACGCGACCGAATATTTCATCTCGCGTCGCTATCAGTTTTATTCCAGAATCGATCCGCGTCTCGGCAAAATCGACGCGTGTTTATTACGTAATAGGATTTATACTTACACGCGCGATACGAGTCCCGTAAACTCCCCGACGATTCTTCGCGCGCGTACGCGCGTACACTTTGCGGGGGATATCATACAAACGCGGCCAGAGCGGACGGCCGGATGTCGAGATAATTGAAACAGGACGAACTTATTAGCCGACTCGTTTCCATTCTTTCCTCCGTCGTCACCGTCGCCGGCGCTTTTGTGCATTAACACCGAACGAGTGTTTTAGCGCGGCCCTTATCCCGCCACCCTGGATTCTGCGCAAGTGTATTTTTCTTTGGGCTTTTAATTAGTCCGGTCATTAATTAAACACATTTCTCCTTCGGGCATCCGCCCGTCGTCCTCTCCCACCGCTCATACACCTTCTCTCTGTCCCCGTCCCCGTTCCTCTCGCGGCTAGCCGCTCGCCCGGCACTCTGCTCTTCCGCTTCTCCCTACCGGGAGCTGCCTCGCAACACTTCAGGAATTTTAATTTCGCCCTAACGTGTAAACACGCCGGCGCCAATTTATTTCACCACGGGGAGCGTTTTAAAAGGGAGGTTCGGGCCCGGCCGACCTCGCTTTCTCTCCCGCTTGCAGCCTGTTTGCCCTTAACTTTAATTTTCTCTCTCCCTCTCTCTCTCTCTTTTTCTCGTTCTCTCTCCAACAACTAGATGCGTTTCGCGATTTACGGTATACTGCGGAATAGCCGCGGGCCTCGATACGAAGGAAATTGAAGGCCATAGAATACCAGTAAAAACGTACCAACGAACGACGGTTAAAGAATATTGGTAGATAATACAAGTGCCAAGCGAAAATGTTATATTGTAAAATGTGATTGCTCTAACTTCTCATGTCTTCCAGAAGAGAAAATAATAATTATGTATCATTTTGTATCATCAACCAGCAGAATAACCGACCCTATCGTCCGCCAGCGGCTGGCCATTTGCCGGACCCATTCTGCCGCGGCGAGAGCGCGTACGTTTTCTGCTCACAGCGGATAAACGGAATCGCTTCACGTCGGATGATTAGTGTCGGGCTTAACAGCGTGGAATAATGCCCGGGATTACGATAATTAAAGGGTGTGATTAGTTTTATTGCGGCCGAACGGCCGTAATAAAATGAACGGTAAAAGTCTCCGGCGGGTAAGGAAAATTAACTTATAAAGGTAGTTTTGCATTTTACTCACCCGCCCGTTCGCCCAGCAGAATATTTCCCGCGAGACGGAACGATATATACTCTAGTTTCCAATAATCGTTGTAAATCGCGCCGCGTCGCCGCTTAATCGTGACGTGATGGGATAACCTGTTTAATGCCCTTATTTAGCGACATTATATGCGGCTAAAACGCCGCTTCTCGGGAATTCAGGTCAAAAGGCTGCGCACTCCTTTCAGCTCAGCGGTGCTGGCGCAGAAAATGGAACAAACACACTTCGCGATAATTTAACTCGAGTCCCGGGCGGAATCTTCCCCCCCCCCCCCGCCCCTTCACGGTCTTATCCTTTGAAATCCTTTAATGGGAATTCTTTGCGACTACTGCTCGCGAGATGACTTAACTCAGTGATAATATTATTGTACTTGGCCTGAAACTTGGGAAGGACTCTTGATACGCGAGAGAAACGAGAGTCGAGCTGTTTCGCCAAAGGGTAAAGGGCCAACGCGACTTTCCCGGCAGCGTTCCGGAAATTGATCAGCTAAAGGTACCCTGATTACACCCCAATGTGCCCTCAAACTGGGTTAGTCACTTTTAAAAGTGTGTTTCGCGAATGGAGAATCCACAATTAGCATTAAAATCGTGCGCTACTACACGAGTTTTGCAATCCCATTAAAACGATCCTCCCCGCTTCCATTGCTGCGTCATCAGTTTCGCGAGACGATGATCATTTGCTCGACATCCACGGAAGATAACGTTACCATCAGTAATTTTATCATGATTCACGATTCTCTCCGATTTATTATATCGAGCAAATTCGTACGGTCGCTGAACTCGAAACGCGGCTTGGTGCATCGATCCAACTGGTCGCTCGAGAGAGAGAAAAAAAACAAGTGAGAGAGAGAGGATTTTAAAAAAGACATAAAGGAGAAATCGAAAGGAGACAAGGGATCGTACCTGCGGAACCATTTCGCGCGTAAAGCGCAAGTAAAAGCACGAACGAAAGATAAGATAATGGAAAGTTGGAAAGAGCGCCGATCCACGCCGGAGACAGGTGAGAGAGATGCGAAGCGGCAATACTTCAAATTCATTTGCGCGACAATCTCCGGTTCCTTTCGCCTCGCGGCTCCTGCACAACTCGCCGTACCAATAAAATCAGAAGTTCGTCTCGTTGGCAGCAACGTTCGTGGCAAGAGAGAAAGACACGGAGAGATGGGGAGAAACGGGGAGAGACGGGGAGAGACGGAGAGAGACGGGGAAAGACGAGGAGAAACGAGGAGAGACACGGAGAGACACGAGGAGAGACACGGAGAGACGGGGAGAGACGAGGAGAGACACGGAGAGACGGGGAGAGACAGGGAGAGACACGGAGAGACGGGGAGAGACACGGAGAGACACGGAGAGATGGGGAGATACAGGGAGAGAGAGGGAAGGGGGCGAGGGGTGCATCCGCGTGACGCGATAATTATACGCGCTCATATAAAAGAGGAGGAGCATCGTAGAGAGGAGGAGATGAAGAGAGAATGCTTCGCCGCGATTCTGGGGCAACGAAATGAGCCATATCGAATATCGTTCGGGATATCGATGGCGTATAAAAATATATTCGCGATCGCGTAATTGAGTCTCCCTCTGATATTTCTCCCGCGGAGGAAAGACGGAGAGCGACCGGAAGGGAAACTCGAAATTGTCGCCTCGGCAAATTGCCGGGCGAAATTCGCCGGGAAATAAACCACGCTCGCTTCGTCTTTCGATGGCCGCTTCCGCCTTTTTGTCCGCCTTTCCGCTTCCGTCGACGGGGTGTCGCGACGGCCGGGATAACTCCCGGCGGCGGCGGCGGCGACGGCGACGACGGCGGCGGCGGTAAGCGCCTCCCCGATAAGTTATCACCTAATTATGAAGCCCGTGAGACGCGACGTTTGCACGTAACCCCGGCGACTATAAAGCGCACGTTACGCTCGTTTTTCACAGTTGAAAAATCTCCGCGGGGTATGAGCCTTAAAATGTAGGCAGGCAGCCGAGCGTGCACGTGGCGGCTCTTGATACGCTAAGCAAATTTGACGATGAAGCTCGTTTATACGCCCGGGGAAACGCGACGTGGAATGTCCCATCGGATTGACTTGCCAAGGGCGCGCGGCGCGAGATCGTGGATTAAATGGAAAGGATAGTCGCACTAGGAAAAATAATTTGTTGTATAAATCAAAATTTCCTTGTAATAACAAAATAATTTTGTTAAAATATGCCGAACTAAATCGTTTGGTAATGCGAATTGTGTCGGCGGCGGGAAGAAAACTGTATTCGGCGGCGGAAAGAGAGAGAGAGAGAGAAAGAGAGAGAGAAACTCTCCTGAAAAATTTCTTACCGTTTACGATCCAATTTATTTTTTCGCTACGACGATAACGGAAGGGTATCGTCACCCTCGGTATCGATAAAGCGACGGCGCAAATGGTCCACGACTACCTCAACGATGCGGCCATTTTTACGCATCTCGAACGAAAGCGCGAGAGAGCCGAATGACAAAGTGGATCGATCAGAGAGCATTAGACGCAACGATTAATCGCCGCCGTTATTCCCCGCTTGTTCGCCACTTCGTGTCGCGGTCGCGGCTCTGCGCGACAGGGAGAAACAGGCCGCGTTAGCCCTTTTATATTTTCATTAACCGTCATTATTCCGCCTACGCTTTGCGGCGGTCACCAGCGCGCGCGTACGCGCGCACGCGCGCGATGTTTTTCCGCGCGTAAAGCGGAAGCGGATGGATGCACGCGGCGCGCGGGCGGCAGCGGTCGTTACAAAGGCGGATCAAATTACAACTGGTGCGGGGGATTAAAGCCGGAGGAAAAAAAGGAGAGGCAGCGTTTGCGTTGCCACGCAAAAAGGCACATCCGCGAATCCGCCTCTCATCGGTCCCCGGCTTTACGTGCGTAGCGCCGCTTCGCTGGTCCTCTCCCCCGTGCCGCCGCAACCCTCTCGTGGTTCCCGCCGCTTGCATCGGTTACCCGCGCGTTTCCCGTCTTCTCATTCTTCTTTCCCGTTCGCCATTTCGCCCGACGCCGATTCCCCGACCGCTCGAGCTCCTCCTCGAATTAACGTCCCGCCCATGAATCCGCTAATAAATCTCGCGAACCGCTATTACCGCCGCCGGTCCGGTTCGAAGGAAGCTAAATCTTCGGATAAGGGTAAAATAGCCGCGAACCGGTCATCGGTTGACGAATTTATACGGCTCGAAGGCCAACGGCAACGGGAGGAAGAGCGGCGCGATTTCGGCCGGATTCGGATGTCGAGGTTCGCGGCGGCGGTGGTGATGCGCGACCCGCGAATCCGCGGCGATAATATTGATTTTTGCGATTACGCAGCACGCGCGGCGCGGCGCGGCGCGGCGCGAGTTTGCCTACACGCGTGAACACATCGAATATATATATGCACCGAAAGTATTATTTATTTTATAAACACGCGTATACATATCGCGCGCGTATCGCGTTTGCGTAACCGCGCCCGCGCGCGGCGTAAACCGAGCGCCGCCGCGAGGATCCTCCGCGTCCCCTCCGCGCGCCGCGAGCGATAATCCCGCGTTAACGCTTTGCTTCATTAATATGTTTATAATCGTAATGACGCATCACTGATTGTTAAAGCATTCTATTGTGCGCGTTCGTTTTAAATCATTATTACGCGGTAATATCGAGAGAATTATTAATTAATTATGCTACGTGATATCGATAACGAGCCGATATTGTGTCGGCGATACCAAAGCCGTATTTGCTGCCTCGGCGTCGCCGCTGTGGCGGGCATTGTTTTTTAAAATAAAGATGAGGCGCGCGATACAAAATGCGCGCGCACGCCAGTGTACGGAAACTTGACGCACGATTGAAAACTATATGGACAATAGCCGCGAACGTTATAAAATTCGCGGCGGTTTTATCCCACCCGTTTCCTCTAATCCCCCGTCGAGATGACATCGTCGAAAACTTGGACGGAAGACGACGACGTTCAATTACGAAGTACAAAGGATCGCCCGTTATTCCCGGTTACCCGTACATTTGTTTGTCCTCCATGAGGCTGTCTGGGATGGATGACCATTGTTCTTACAGATTGGGGCTTTCGCAAGGATTAATGAGAATGGCTCGGCCGTTCACCGAAATCCGATTGGGTAGCCCACTTCAGACCGTTTAATATCGTGTTTACCCCCCCCCCCCTCGCACCCCCAAGTGTGTGTGCTCGTGACAATTACTACTAAAACAGAATGGACCGTATGAGTAGATAGAGAAATATACGGAGTGATAAACATTTAAAGAGTCGCATATCCGTTGGCATTCGAAACATGTCAGAACGGCGTTCGCGTAGAAGTAGTCGCGAGAGAAGCCGAGATCTTATCTCCGACGGACGGTCCGAGTGGATCCCCGATTCCTTTTGTCTCAACGTAGCAATTTATACGGGCGATACGAACGATTGAAAAATACTGCTGTTGAAATTCTTCCGAGGCGCAATTGGCCTCGAAAGACGGTCGTCTCAGCGAAACTAAAGTTTCCCGGTACGAAGCGGACGTGGGTCACGACTTTTACGTCTTCGCAACTCTTTTACCACTACTTTACGCGACGCTGCACCCGAAAACGTCGGCGTCCACCTGGCCACCTAAGGGCTTTGTGAGGTATCTCGTGTTTCGAGCACCCACAACTTTTGCTCCGAGCGCAACGGTGCACTTAGACGAAAGCTGGATAGGTAGATAGGTGGGCGCTCGCTCTGTGAAACATCGAGATAGAACGGGGGGCGCGCGAGGAGTGTCTGCGGTTCGGTGAAAACCGAAATTACGGGGTTAATGGAAGTCCGGGGCGAGGCTTGGTCGGTCGCGTACTAAAGAAGGAAACGGGCAACGAGAGATCGCGAAGGGGGTCTCACCTCGTAGATCTCGTCCCGGAAAAAGGGAGTGGTCCGCACCACTCGCCGCTGAAAAAACAAAACGTAACGAGCCATTCGTCGCTCAGACGTAACAAATAAATCTATAGGCTCGAGAGGATCTCTTAGTCCGTCGGTACTGCGTCGTGCGAGATTCAGCAAGGTGTGCTGAAAGAAGTTACCCCTTTGCTTCTTTCCGACTGAAAGCTGAGACCCTTTGTATGATTGTTCTGTCGTGACAGGGACAGAAATTACTAACGAGCGAGAAGTAGTTTTATTGCGCAACGGGGGTGGAGTTACAGTGATATTTAGCGCAGGATAATATTTTGCAACGAGTATTCAGGTCGGATCTCGAAGGACGCGGTGCCACCGTCGTTGAAGGGTAAAGACACGCTGCCATCTAGAACGAGGCCGGCGTCAAAGCCCATCGACTTGACTTTAATTCCGCAGCACATTCGCTTGTTCGAAATAAGCGTCGGCCAGAGCGAATTTCAAGACATCTCATATATCATGTATGTTTAAAGTTTCTGTAACGCAAACATTCGACATTTGAGTAATCGTAACTTAATGTTTTCTTGTTATATCCCCATCAGCCTACACCCCCAGAAAGGATTTCTGTTACCGAGACAAAAAGTATTCTTGACGCATTTATATTTCTCACAACCTCATTTAGTATAAAACTAAGACAATATCAAAATAAAATCATTAATTCTTATTCTCCTCTGTCGAATTAAAAAAAGATTGACCTACTATATTGAGACAAGAGTAACTTATATAAATGTAAGTTCATATATTCTTACGTTTAGAATAAAGTGTCCCTCCAGCTTACAACGTACGAAGTTGGCACCACGATATTAAACAAAAGACGACACATACTATCATTTTATTCTAGAATTCTATTCTATTAATATTTCTTTCTCTTTAATAAATATGATTGGCGCTATATCGATCCTATTTTATGATGCATTGAAGTGTAATAGCATTGGACCCGGAAATATTTTCTGTGGGTGTAGTATCCTTCATCGTGAATCTCCAATGACTACTCGGAGAAACGTCATTGAGGATTCGGCAGACACTTTGAGTTTGTGCTTGCGCTACCTGGCGGGAACAGGAGGTTACTGTGATACTTGTACAGCACTTTGCAGGTTTCTTTCTCGTCGAGTTGCCTACCAGTTGCCATGGCCGCGAGCGTTTGAACGGTTTCGGCAGTCTGCAAATTCATCGTCCTGAACCAGGACCGAGGGCCTGAGCCTGTGCAGACGCAGGAACGGATCGTGAACCTCTCCTCGTCGTCGACCTGAATCGCCACCAGGATCGGCGGTAAAAATTCGGCCATGAACACCTGGAAGCGCGTGATGAGCGTTATCGATCGGCACCGGCGTAGAAACGCTTTACGTCGGATGTAACCTCATTTAATGCCAGCCAGGGTAAAATTCTCAGGCGGGGCTGCAGGGCATCCGCTATTTTCCTCTGAGTGGATCTCATGAGTGCGCTGCGAAGATTTCATTTGTTTAGCGCGCGCCTTTGCAGAGACGTCGCGAGACTCGAAAGGAATTAATGAGACGCGAGAGTTTACGAGAGGAAGGGAGATTACACAGGGACGTAATGGAATATCAAATGTGCGATGGTTAAATTGTTTTCCCCTGCCGGAAATATCCAATTAAACACAATCGTCGGGACTAATCCCCCGCGACATTTTTTTCCCGGTTAATCGACAGATTACGAGCTTAAGAAGCTCCACCGCATTGCGTCGCGTTTACCCCCGTAAAATTCGCGCGAATTCAGAAGTTACGGCCTCCTTGCGCAAGTCGTAACTACGCGGGCCTTGTAATTTACAAGTTATAACTACCGAAGTTATAACGCGCATAAGCTGTAGTTCGGAACTTCGGTTGCGAGGAAAGGACCGGGCCGGGCCGGAGCAATGAAGATCCACTGTAGCGTCCTCGCGGAGGCGCCGGGTCGGCGATACCCAGCTGCTTATTTCAACTTTAGACTTAGCGCCGCGGGAATAGCCGGTAAATAAAAGTTTAGCGCGGAACGTCATTCTCGCGAGCAGCGCTTTAATGCTCCTCTATCTAACGCGGAATTACACGGTACATTTCTCGCGCCGGTTTCCCGCACGCGGCGGCGAACGCGTGCGTCTCCGCCCCGTCAACCCTGTTACTTCTCATTTCGCTCAGCAGCCAGCGCTCGCAAAACCATTCTCCGACTATCAAAAAGCATTCAAGCCCTTATCTTTTTGTGTTACGTTAATGCTGCCCCGAAGAAATTTCCATTTCAGGCATTCGCGAATAAAGGAGACGCCTGCCGTACCTCGTAAGTCCTTTCTCGCTTTATTCGGCTCTATTCGCCCTTGGCACGCCTGATTTATTAATACTATTATTCTATAACGTACTCCAACTCGCTTCCACGACCCGAGTGAAAATGACGACTGCATCTCCAAGAGGAATACTGAGAAATTTGCCAGATAAAACGTGAAATACAATCCTGCGTGAGAAAGGCGAGGTAAATGACGTTATGACACGGATTTTCCTTCAAGAGGAAAATTTTTTCGACGCAAGTTTTCCTTAGCGGAATACGCTGACTTAAATATAAAGCGGAGGAAATTATGTTAAGCGTTTCCACTAGCCCCTAGAAAAGGAACTATAGGCCGATCTACTCACTCGACTCTTTTCTCGCCTTGTACACGACCCTTTTCCTGCACGCGAAAGGGCTGTCGATAGAGTCCTTCTCCAGTCATTGTCGTACGTATACGACTTCTCATCAAGACAGTGTAATCCCGTGCACGCAACTTTTCGAATAGCCTCTCGACGTCCGCGCTACGCTTGATCGGCAGTGCGAAGGTGTTGTTAGCTCCGGGATGCGGATTAATCCCGAGTATCGGCGTTTTGTTGCATCTTATCAGCTTCGAGGCTGAGAGAAAGGTGCCGTCCCCGCCGACCGCGATCACCAAGTCCGCCCAAATCTGCGCATTTACTCGCGTCACCTATTCTGTATTCGACCACAGTACAATTTGAATTCAGTTAATTAACAACGTTGCTTGTGAATTTCATAAACTGGAGCATCGACCTCTGGAAATTATGTCGCGGATTTTCCACTTCGAAAAGAAAAAGCCCTACGGTAACGGCAGGTTCGTTAACTTACAAAGTAACTCGTTCGTAAAGCACATTACCTTTTCATAATCCGATAACTGACGTCGAGATTACGTAGAATCCGCGCAAGTTCGTTCTCGCAGGCGAGCTGCCGATGATGCTCCGCGTGGATCTCGTCAGGATCTATACTCTGTTTTCTCAACCGATTCGATAGCTGATTATTCGATAAATCCGGATGCGTGGCTTTATAAGATACTCGAAGGCGGATAATTCCGAGATGCCGAGCACGCGTTTCGGCCCGTGCCCGTTGTTCGTTAAACAATTTAACAATCTCATCCTTAACGTTCCACATATTGCGCGATAATTTTACATGCCGCTGCCAAATATTAATCCAAGTTAGATTATAGTAATTGTCATTATCTTTAAGAAAACATTGGCGGTTTACGTCGAGCGGGACAAATTAAACCTCCTGCTTAACCAAGTAAATTACGGAAGCGATAAATTCACTAATTGCATCGGGAAATTGCCTTTACTTATTAATTTCTTGGATGTTGCACCGAGCATGGGATCTTTAAAGCGGTGAATCATTAGCAACATCCTCCGCAACTCGGATTTCCGACGCCGCAGCGTTCCAAACCGATGTTTCTCGGCAAGCAGCCCGTTTCGCTACCGGAACTTGCGCAACTGTACATCGGTCTTTCCGAACGATTGACCGTAACATCCTCCGCAAGAGAAAAGGCTCTTGTAGATCGAACCTTTATTCCATGTATTAGCAAAAGTTAAGCGTATGTACGTGACATTACATTTCACGCATGCGTTACACACATAGAGATAAAGAGAATAGAGAAAGAATGTATTCTGGAACAATATACACGAAAGGGATAATTGGATAATAAAATTTAGTGCAATTAAAATATTGATAATGAAAGATTAATAATGAAACATTGAAATGAAAAAGAAACGAGAGAAAGGAAGAAGCACAATCCCAAATGTAACATTATTAAGAATGTTTAAGCAAGAGCGAGACCAAGCAATATTATTATATAACTGCGCCGTAAACAGCTATAAAGCATTGTTGTAGCAGTTATAAGGATGAGATTGTTAAATTGTATAACTCACTTGCAAGGAAGATCTCTCCGCGGCAACAATCCGCGTTTAACTTTAGCCAAATTAACGAGCAGCCCTTTCACCGTCATTGATGTAGTCCCGTCTTTCATCGCGAGTCGCGCGTGTTTCTCGCGAATGGCACGAGACTATCGAACACGGAGTTGTTGCCTGGAAATACGGGGGCTGGTTCTTGGTCGGAATTGGACGGTCCAAAGACGTTGAACACGGAGACGCGTCGTACAACGGCGGCGGCGGACAGGCCGCTGGACACGGCGGTGATTTACACGGGGACGGTTTACATGAGGGTGGTTTACACGCCGGCGGATTACACGGCGGCAGATTGCACGGAGCACGGAGGTGGGTCAGACCCGAGGTGGATGCCATGGCCACGGGTTGCGAGCTGGCGGGACATGGTACACAGGCACAACAGTAACAACAACGACGGTGGGAGGGGATTGCGGGCAGAGGGGGACGCGTGTTGTCGCCTGTGTTTAATCAACTTAGCGTGATAAGGCGACGGATAGAGACGTCGAGGGGCATTATGTGGGAGCCTTCGTACCCTCCTCGACTCTTCTACACTGGAATCTCCTATCGAGGAAGTGTGCCTTCATGGTCTTCGCGGAGCCTGATGTTACGAAGTTTCCTCGCTGTTACTTCGCGCAATTCAGCGCGGTTGCAGCTCCGCCAGTTCCTCGCCTTCGACGCTGTCATTATCGTTGCCTGTAGAGCAACTCCGTTACCGGCGACCTCCAGTGCCGTCGCCGACATCAGCGTTCTCGAATGCAGTACTTAGCGTGAAAGGCGGCGCATGGGCGCGCCGTTCTGTCGAAGGATATCGTACTTCCTTCGCCTCGCGGGCGAAGTTTCGTGCCGTACGATGTCGAAGTTGAATAGTAAATCTTCCGACGCCGCCTGTCTGATACATCCACCAGGACGACGTTAAGTCTTGCCACTGCATAAAGCTACCCGTTACACGACTGAAATGCTTATGACAGCGGCAAGCGTGTCCTAACACTGCCTGTGTGGTTCAAGATGCACTTATTCCTTGAGTACCTTCGACTCTTCTCTTATTCTCTCTATTATACCCAGAGAATTCGCCAAGCAGATTGCCATAAACTTCGACCGAGTTTTCGTCTCGTACTTCCAATATAAAGATTGTTTAAGAGATGCAAAATTCTTCCGAACTATCTTCTCGCATGTCACATGCTTCGAATGATTATCCGTATAACAGATCTACTGAAGATGAATGATAAATAATTAAATACATTGTTCTATCTCCGTCAACTCTTAGATAATAAATTCTCAGTTAGAGATTTCGCTATTATATATTCAATTTCCTTTCCTTAATAAAATTAGTTTTAACTAAAATGAATTAACCACAGTATACCTTTCTGATCGCCCGTGAATAGATAACGAGAGGAAACACGCTGCTGAGATATGCTTTTGCTCTCCAGACCAGATTTTCGGCCTTTGCATCCGGCAGGTGGGCTACCAAGGAACTTCGACGAACTTGCGCGAAATTCCTTCCGCCGCAATCGCCAACCGCGAAGGCCGCTTAAAGATATGACGACGTCCCCGCCGGGATCCGACTTGATGCAAAGTTTCCCGGCTGCCTGCAAGCTCTTTTCGACACTGTTTGGCGTTTCTTGCGAAAACGGTAACGGCCTCTCGCGTTTGCGGCGGCTTCTTCTTGTCCGCGGACATTTCCCCGAGCTGAGTAGCTTCGCGAGCGGATGAAAAAGCGATCAGACGATCTCGCGTCTGTTTCGGTTCTCTTGCGACTGGCAATTTTTCCGTAATAGACGTTTTCTTGCGATGCAGAGGCATTTCTCTTCATTTTTGCCGGTCCTCGAAATGCAAATTCGAGCTAATTCGTTATTAGTGAATAATCATAAAGTAATTATCATAATGAGTAATAACAAACTGCTGTGCAAACACCATAATCACTCTGTCCGCATTAATATATCGTGTGATATTATACGTTGTCTTGTTGTCCGGCATCAATGCGTCGACTGTCGCATCTATATCGCGACTATATTTAGCGCGTTATTAATTTTAATTATTAATATGCGTGCGCGTTGGACAGGACGCAAAACTTTATGGCTATTCGCACATACCAGTTAATAACTGAAATTAGTATGTACTGTGAAGTGTAATTAGGATTGACGTACATCACAGGCTGCGGTACAGATTACGTCGCGTATTTATCCATTTTAATTCGCTCAGTCCCCATAGCGACCTCGCCCGACCTTGCATCGTAAATTTGTATAAAAAATTATACATAAGCGGCAAAAAGCGGCGCGTTAATTTTGTACCTCCGATTGTACGATTGATTCCGAATTATTCAGCGAAGTTAAATATCGCATGTTGCTATTGTCAATATCAATTATATCGCAACAAATGCTCCGATGGCCATGGATGCGTGAAATATAAATTTCCCTTTGTCCAGTAATATGATCGATCCCTGCCACAGTGTTGATTGTTCCATACTGGACAATTGTCATTCCAATGATAATATCCCGTACAAATGTTGTCAATATTATTTAGATGCGGATAACAATATTTTGCGTCGTTCTTCCAATACGTATTGATACATAATAAATTTTCACATGTTGCCCAACGTTTTGCGCAGTCACTGATGTTGCAATATCTGGACGAGGCGTGGTTATTAACCAGCGAGTGACAACTGCTACGGTATTCGATTGCACACGAATCTTGCGGGAAAGCGCAATGAGCGTGGCTTAAAGTAGCATCCCGTGTAACTTCGTTCCGCGAGCCAAAGCATGGAGTGGGCCAAACGCAATATTTGGGTCTTCCGAGACAGACGTCGCTCGGTATTAGATCTTCGCAATGTCTCATTGGCTGTGGGTATCCTAGCGGTTTGCCACGACAATCTTGATACATCTGTATTGCCGGTCTTTTAAGGTAATTTAAAGATCTAGAACACTTTATCGTTTCAGGTAAGGGCAAGAAGAGACGCTCGCATTTCGGAAGTTTCTTGGTATCCTTGGGTGTGCATGTTTTCTTAAACTGCGGCATTTTTCTCTCTTTCGTCATAGACGCGTCAATGCGATATTTGGCGCGATATTTTGGCCTGCCGCACGGCACCGATTCCTGAAGAATATCCTTGGCTATGACTACTTTCATGGATTCGTCTCTTACCTGCGAAGTTTTGATAGAGGAATCAACGATGCCATTTTTTACGGTAGTAGCTTCTTGACTGAAGAGAGTTTCTCGTTTTGAAGCAGTGATTTGAATGTCGTTTTGCTGATTTAAATCTAAAGAGGTGGAAACTTTCTTTCTTAGCTTCGGTATACACTTTCTAATTACAGTGGCACAGTTTGTCTTGTCAACAGCAGCACGTTTGTCTGACGTTCGTCCTAGAGAAATTTTCTTCGATGATTCTTCTATATTCTTTTCCTCGGCAACAGTAGTAACTGCAGCATCCAGAACATCGTCTCTTTCCGGATACATGACCGATACTGTTCGCGCGTGCTCAGTCCTCCTTAAACATTTTGCCGGTGAAATTACTTGGCTATCCGAAATGCTCAACGATTTACCCAAGCACGCCGAAAACTTTCGTAATGCCGGCGCAAAGCGACTCGAGCAAAACACTAGTTGCGTATTCGTGAGTGTCTCTGGTTGCATTACTGCGGCAGTTGGTTTTTCCTCCCCGCAAACGATCGAAGATATTAATGGTTGCGGGCTCTCGAATGTTTCCTCCCCCATCTCATATCCCGCCGACGACACCGATACGGACGCGAGGATCGAAGCCTGCTCCTTCGCGGAAACGAGACGCGCTTTCTCCATCAAATCGTCAGAGACTTTTGCAATTTCCTCGAGAATAAAGTCCGCGTGCCGCCTCTCTTCGCATGCTTTCGCGAAAGCGTCGGGGCTTGTCTTCAAACTGAATTCCCCATCCACGGTATCGCTTTGAGTCCCGATACGCAGCGGACCGCAGCCACACTCCGGCACGGTGTTATCCGCGCACTTCGCCGTGTATTCCGCATATCGATAAGATGCGCCGCGTACAAAATGCCCTACGACGCCTGCAGGATTTTCGTGTGTTGCTCCGTCAAAAACTTGGTCGAATCTTGTAGTGGAGGTGATCGCATTCATCATCTCTTGCTTAGCAACAGCTTTTGCCTCGGGTTTAATTATATTATCTACAATCGACGAGCTACACGTGGCAACTTGCTCTTCGGATTTACACGACGTACCGACACTTTGCTTTCTATTAAATATCTTTTTTCTGCTCTGTACTAATCGCACAGTGGAGCGTATTAAATGTTTCAACATCTTGTTGAGTGACTTATGACTTTTTGACGTCGATGGACCTCCGTCAGTTGCATTTGGAATATTGCGGTAAACGAAACAATCTGTTTGTTTAGTACAATTTATGTCACAATCAACCATTTTGTTTCCGTTATTTGCCATGCTTGCTGCGCTTAGTATGTTTATTCGATATACGTAGTAATATTAATGTTATAGAACACAGTTCCACCGCATTAATATTGTTAATATTGAATATGTTTAATTGAATATGCTAATATTGAATAGGCTGAATTGCTGAATTGCAATATTGCTGCATGCTGAGTAAGAAAATTATATTACAATATGCAACCTCGTAATTTTTCAACTTGTAATTTTCAGGAGAGATTCATAATTAACTTATTTTCTTTCCATTGTTAGTAATAATTAAAATTCCCGTTCGAGCGTGGATTTTGGCGTAGATACAATTTCCGTGTCGAGTACATTTTTGCCGATTTTACATAGCCGAGAATAGACACGTATGTGTGGTTATTAAGATTTAGTTGAACTGAAAATCCAAATTCTCGATATCTCGAAGCGATTCGATTCATCTATACGAAAAATCTGACGAACGCAAATTTCGCTAAATTTCGCGTATCGCTGCTTGAAATAATTATTTATATCATGACAGACGCATATTTATTTGTACAAGCTGCTCTACTAAGAAAATCTTTCGTGCATAAATCACGGGGGGATCCTGACAGCTGCTTTTTGTTCCGTCAAATGATCGTTCAAATCAGACGTTTCTGGATACTCCGCGATTAACGTCTCGTCTAAAGTGACCGAGCTGTCTGACCGCCTTATTTCGTAGCAATCTTGTTTGTCGCACACGAAACATTGCACGGTCCTCGACGCGGTCGCGATCGCACTCTGAGGTCGTGTGCCCGGATAGCCGAACATATTGATCCCCGCGGAAGTAAGGTCATTCGATGACGTTTGCGTTTCCACCTCTCTCACGTCGTGGCCCGATTCCGATTGTAGCATTATGCTCATCAACACCCTCCTCTTCTTCTCGCCGCTGAGAAGAAACTCCGATAAAACCCTCGCAACAATCGCGTCAGGTGTTTGCACTTGTACGTTTACGTAGGCCCGACTCTTATTGCCTTCTCGAGGGGTTTGCACAGTAGACGGCTCTATTTGCGTAATCTTCGCTCCGCTATCGTAAGTAGTAGCGGCCGTGCTAGATAGCTCCTTTCTTCCGATGCCTCTTCTGCCCCGTTTAAGCACAGCCGCGATGGTTTTATTATCGACGGACGAGCGCCTCCTCCAGAATTTCATAGCCGTCGCGCAAAACGGCGATCTGGAATTCCTTCGTGATTTTCCCGGCGAAGCGGGCGACGTCGTCCCCCATTTGGAAGTAGACGCTATCGGTTTGTCCGGATCGTTCTGCGATGAATGAACTGTGAGACCCGTTGCCGTCGACGATACTGCTGCAACCACGACCGCCGACGTGAAGCTCCTTTCCGTTTCCGCGCAAAATCTTGTTTGTTCAGGCGTCGCGGGCGTTTCCATTCGTCCGTTATCTTCCGGAGAGGATATGTTCGTCGATCGAGACTCATGATGTAGCCGATCATTTCGCGACGTAGCCGATACGCGAATCGCTTGGCGATCGGTAGTTGCAAACCGTTCGTAACAGGCCACATGCTGCGAGCTTCGATCAGTGCAATGCACGCTCGTCTCTCGACTCTTATCGTGACATATACAATTTTCCGAAGTGGAATTTTGATTACGCTCGATCGATCTTGCCTCGTGAATACGTTGCACAGATTTCTGCTCATCTCTGGTCGTAAAATCCCGATTATCGCTACCACCTCTGTTGCGGAGTCCTGGGCACGTGGAGTGCTCGAGGTATGTCAAGTATTCACTTAAACGGGATTGAGAATGTACATCCTCATCGTGGCTGAAGGTTTCATTTCGTAATGGAAATTCTACGATATCCCAATATTTGTCACGTTCATATTCTAAAAGAGTAATTATTATTTCTATATTAAAGGCAAGAATTATACACACACGGGAAACGAGAGAATATTTTACGATATTGAATATTGCGCAAGCATTCGTATCTAAATGCAAATTCTCGCACGGGCAAGGGCTAATGTAAAATTTGAATATAAACATCCTTTGTCTTCAATGCGTATAAATTTGGAAATTTTCAAAGAGGAAAATTATCGTGGGATTACAACAAAAACCGAATTTGCTAATTTGCATTCTATCGCAACGCAAATCTGCAGAAATTTGTATTTATTTATGAAACTATAAAATTTCTCCATCATTTTTTGTATTTCATTTAGCTGAAATAAAAAATACATTTTTGTTACAGCGCAATATTTATGGTTCACGTATTCGGAGAGACGCAGGTACAAAGAGACGACAGAAAAATCGAAAAACCCGACAAAATTGAAAAGCAGTGAAAGATTGTAACAAAAAAAAGCGAATGTTTCGTTATCGTTTTTTTTTAAATATTTCCTCCGAAAAAAATTTTACACATACATTTACTAAGTTGACTCAAATGTGTACGCGTCATTTGTTAAATATAAGTCATAAGTTTCGATGACTTAATGCAACAGGTAGACGCGCGGTGGATTGATCGCTGCTAATCGTACCGTTGTAAGTCACACAGGACCCTTTGTCATCCTCTTTTTCGGCGTTTTGATCCGCGCGCTTCTGCATATCGCGGCGAGAAGGTGCAATGGCTCGCGAATTCTTCCGCATCGGTGCATCCTCCGTATCCTCGCGGTATTTTCCCACGTTCCCGATTGCGCGTTCTTGACGCGCCTCCGTTTTTTCCCCGTTCTTTGAGCGCATTAAATTTTTACGACACGTTTCACCGCATATTTTGCCGGCGCACGAGGAGGACGAGCTTTTCACGAGCATCGCGTCAGCCACTTCGACGGAATTTCTCTGTGAACGTTCCGATTTAGGTGCATCCTTCACAACACGGCCGACGCTCGTGGCAGCGAGTTTTACGACGTTCTTACACGCATCGTGCATTTGCGACCAAATTTTGCCCATCTGTAAACTCGTCCAAAGAGAGTAATCGCGCGTCTCGCGACGTTCGCCGTCATCGTTTATATTGTCACTCCTCGTTTGTGACCTACGAAACATTCGTAGAAACTTTGGTACACATTTTCAACGTGCTTTTTATTACTTTGACTTGAAAGGAAAATCGATTCCGAACAGATTGCTGTGATAAAGAAATGCAACAGAGATTTGTTGCATTCTATACACAGCAGGTTGAAAATATATATTATAACAGAAACAATTGTGAACGTTTTGTAAATATTTTAACGGTGTCAGTTCGGTTCGCGGAACGCGAGTCAGATCATTAAATTCCGCGATGTTATTTCACACAGAAAATAATAATAAAAACACGAATATATATAAATATTATATAAAACAAAAAAAAAGAGTTAGAAGGCAAAAATATACTCTGAAATATACGAGAGCAAAACAATGTAGGCGAGAAAAAAGTAGAAAATTCTATTTATCGGAAATAGATGTGGTGCGGCAACGCCAAAATCAGGTGGGGACTAACGTTGCTTCGACCATTTCCAGGCTCTCGCGCTTCCTTATCTCCGCGCTTTCGCGCAATTGGACACGAATCGCCTCTTTCGATTTATATCTGTTAGACATAGTCGACGTTAGGTAACGACGAGAGAAAGAGAGATGTAGAGGGAAGGAGGAGGAGGAGGGAAAGCGGCGCGGTTCCTTTATCGTGCGGCCATATCTCATTCAAATCGACTCTCACCTGGAATCACGTTCTCCTTTGAAATCCATCCTCGCGCGTGTACCGGCGTCTACGGTCGCGATTCTTCTCTTCCATTTGTAATCCAATTGTTGGGCGTCAGTTTCAATGGAGTCCCGTTTCCACTCCGAATCCACTCGGCGGGTGGATTCGCCCTTTTCCCCGGGATGCTGGCAGATACGCGACGCTACCGCGACAACGCGGTCTGCGCAACGCCGTCCGATACAGTTGTCCCTCCGCGCGCCAGCATCCCACGTGTCAGCGCCTTTCAGCAAATCTGATTTATACGACCGATTGCCGACTCTCTCCACCGTCGTTGTCGTCGTCGTCGTCCGCCACCCGCGCTTCCCAGGCCGCGCATCAATTTTGCATCGCGGCGCATCCACGGGCCGCGAGCCGCGATGATCGGCGACGATCTCACCTGGTTCGGCAGATACGCTCGCCCGCGAAGCCTCGCGTTTCCAGACCGTGCTCGTCGAGCCTGTTTCCCTCTCGTCGCGATCCGCGCACCGTTCGACTCCACCTGGAGAATATTCATCTACTTCCGTTGCGAATTCAGGCGCGATATCCATCCCGAGCTCGTCCGCTCCACGCCCCTCGATCTCTTCCCTTTGATGCTTCTTCGCAGGAGCGGAATTCTCGAACAGTCTTGTCGCTCGCGATATCAGGGGGCAACGGTCGCGTTGCATATTTATATCGGAATCGCGTTCGTTCGAGTCATAGAGACATCGGCATCCCTTCGCGCGGGTATATTCAGGATGAAAGCACTCGGCCGTCCAATCAGTTTGCATCTCCGCATCGAAATCGGAACAATTTGCATTGTAATCCTCCCGATCACAAATGTGATATTCTTGATGCTCGTCGTTAAAAATCGAGCAGCAGTAGTTCGCGATACGTTTCCTCGCGTCAGCACATGTTTGCTGCGCGTTCAATATCGGATATCGCGCATTATCAATATTAACCATCGTGTCGTGATGACAGCATTCCGTTGAGTCAAGAATCTCGTTGGGCGTATAAAGCCACTGCATATTATTTTCTACGTGCACTTCTCGTTCTCCGTCTGTGGTCTTTTCTAATTTTTCTGACGCGTTAACAGTCGCGTTGACATCCCTGCTATCCATCGATTCGCCCGAATGATTCTCACATTTGCGCTTTGACCCCCGAGGTTTCTTCATTTTGTAATGTTCGGCACAAAGTACAGTTAGCAGAGAACTGTTCATTGTTTTCCTCGTCATTTTGCTTCTGGGAGTCCAGATTGAGTATCGCGCACGCTTCCTGAAAGAGCAATTTACAAAATCTTTAAATGTCTGTCTTTGTCTGTTGCGTTTACAGAAAAATCCGTACTTTGGCATCGTGACAATTTCGGACGCTAGATTACGCATGGGAATAACGCTGATCTTTATGCCGGCGCGGAAAGTGCCATAAACATCATTGCTAAGATCTATGATAACTCCTTCGGGCGCCTTGCGACGTGTTTTTCCCTTACGATTCGATTTGCATCGAGATTCATCTTCGTTCCTTGAGAGAGTACCATCACTCTTGACCGTTTCCTTGCAAGATTCCTTTTGTATCGAGCTTTCGCGGCTGGAAGATACGCACGTTTCAGCGCGGTAATCGTTCGCGAGCTCATCAATCTTTCCCTGATCCAATTTAAAGGCGCATATTTCATTCGGAGAACCGTCTCCATAACTTTTATCCAGTGACTCGTTGTTGTCTTCTCGCGATATGAAATCGTTTGCGTATGAAACGTTATGCGCTGCGTCGGAATATAAAAGTGGGCTATTTACGCATTTGCGATTTCCGTTTTCGCCTTGTGGCGGATCTGCCGGTGGTTCGGCCATCGAGACTTCCGGTCGAATAAGCTGCTCAGTACGGTGGCTACAAAATCGGCGAGATTACAAGCGTATTACGATAATAATATGTTACAATATCGAGTTGCGCGATAATCGGACATTTGGACGAGCACAGCGATAATTGTTTGCGAAATCTGTATCGCAGGCTGGAAATAGTGCAAACGAACAATGGCTCTGAATAGCGAGTCGTGACAGAGGCGCGGAATTGCGAAATCGCGTGTCGACGCAAACTCGTGCTTAAACGATAATTAAGTAGTAATTGTCATACACGCTAAATTAAGTAGTGATTGCCATATGCTATTGTATTACGCTGCTGCATTATTGCCGCATTACATCGTGAAATTATATTGTTCTCTCTTACATGGCAAATGGAATCGCTTTCGCCGGCAAGTGGGCCATTGAGATGTAAATTTACCGAATTGGGGCATGTACTAGCAAATTTTGAATTTAGCGAGGTTAGTTGCCGTGATCCTGACGTCGAAAGTTTGGTTACTTGATGAGGTTTTCGGAAACAACAGAGCGAATGGGCTTCGATGCACGACGCGTGCCACGCGCGCGTTATTTTTTACGTGCTATTCGTTTCGCTGCTGCTGCTCTCTCGCTTAATCGCGATTATTGTGCGATTTAAAATTTGCAACGGAATAACGTTTTCTGCTTGAAAGGGAAATTAATTGTTAAACTTAAATCTCCTCGATGCATTTTGTAACACAATGATCTCATCGTGTACGAAACGGCTAATGCATGAGGCGCGTGCTAAATTTGAGAAATTTGTAAAAAAAAAATTTACATTTAGATAGTGTACCGAGTATCCCATTTTTAGCGACGAGCTTTAGTACGGCTCTGGCGTGCAGCGAAATACATTTTTTCCGCGAATGTTGCAATTTTCCATTATTTACGTCGGTATAATCCGACGGTGCGTATCAGGTTGAAAGCCGGCGTAAAATGTAATACGCGCTTTTGTAATTTGACTGTCAGTTGCAATCGACCTGCCCGCAGTGGCTATATTTGTAAAGGAACGTAATAGGCTTTATGGCGAGTGGCATGTATCTTTTTCCCGAGGCTTTGTGTAGCGCAGTACTCGATGCACTCGTATCGTCTTTCCATTCATTAAAACGCAGCGCAACTCTTCTTGCTCCACCGAGGTCATTAGATGGCAAGAAGAATGGAAGACGAGGGGGATGAAAGTGGATCGATCTATCTTGAAGACCGACGGATAATAATGCAAAATTTTGAATGCAGGCTGTGTAACGCGAATTAATAATGCGAGGATAATAACGTATCGTGTTACTAGTCGCTTAAGATCGAACGACATTGTCGCCGTCGCCTCGCGTCACGATTTTCCGGCCGCGCGACGAGCGACGGATTTTACGTCGTGTTACAGCTATTGCGGCTTCACGTATGCATGCATGTACCGACTCGTGCGCTCTGGCAGACCCAAAAAGAGCGACGCGGGCTGACGTTGAAGCGACGGGAGGACTGTCGCGCGCAGTGATGGATGTCGGCAGGCTTAAATTTTGCGAAATTCCAGGCTCTCCCTGTTGCCGCCGCTATTTCCAACCGCTCCCCCCCTCCCTCTCCCTCTCTCTCTCTCTCTCTCTCTCTCGCGCCCTCGCTCGACCGCTCCCTCATATCGTGGGCTGAACACGCGTGACACTGACGAACTTTCAAGAGCCGCGCGAGATGCCTTATTTGAAAATTTTTCTATTTTCACGCCATCCCAAAGAGTTCGTAGGAACCATTCACTTTCACCCCTGCGGATCTGTTGGACGTAGAACATTTGGCACCCTCTAAGACAGCTTAATTTATGATTGGGATGCTTTCAGGATTAGAATCGTTAAGATTGAAGATCAAGGAGATACTATCCCTCTCTATCTCGTCTTTGTTAACTTGGTGAAAGCCTTTGGCTATTTTTTAGAGAGCGGGGTATAAGAGATTGTATCCCCAAGTCCCTCGATAGGGATCAGCGCGGTCCGCAGAATCCTCGCGTATTTCGTAAAGGTAATCCACCGGCGCTTTTCAACCTCGGAATGAGACGTCTCGAGTGTGTACTCCCGTCGTCGTTTCCACCAATGATGTAGTCTTGAGACAGGCATAGACGGTGGATCGAAGTCGGCTGTCCCCCTGTTTAAGGATAATGTACTTCCGACGATGGGCGGTGCATAACGATTGCTATGGATTTTACGGGGGCCGCTAAAGTGAAAGTACATACGTGCCTTTATTACATATTTAAGCGAAGCGCGTAAAAGTTGGAACATTGAAAAAGGCTGGAACACTTTTCAAATTAGCTTCCGAGGGTTTTACGAGCGGATACACTATGAAATACGCGCCGCCGCGGCCACAAGTATTCGTTTTCGCGTTTCGCTTCCGTTTTTGCAATAAAATATCGCGCGCTATGAATGTATGTTATACATACACGTGTGAGAGATTCATGATAGTCTATCGATCGTGTATTTTAGATTTGACGTAAACTAAAATACATATTCGTGTATATACACGATAATAATATACAGGGTGCACCTAAACTGGGGGAAAATATTTTAATGACGAGCACTTTGTAATATTTTAAGATGGCGAGTCTCCGTTGTGAAATTTGCTACTTTGCCATCCCTGTACGCGCGAAATTCTAGCCTCGTTATTCGGGATTTTTAAACTCTTCCCATTTGAAAACTACACGGAGAGACCGATGTGGTTACCGCATGTCTAATTAGGGTTGGCACAACCCCAATAAATAGTAATATTTGGGGCAGCTATATCTGTGGTTGTCATGTTCACGTTGGTATGATAAGTAGTGGAGACAATTATATGCGTTTTGTGCAGCAAACTCAGTGAATGCTGCAACACAAAACAATGTAGATGCCCCCACTATTTATACGGCAACATTGTAATTTTAGCCATTTTTGCATTAGCCGGTCTTTCCGTGTGTCTTTGCCTCGACATTTTCGTATTAGAAT